AATCTGTAAAGACGACTATATTCATCCGCCTGGCCACCGTTCTAGTAATACGAACCACGGTAAATGCATATACGTCCCTTCAGTGCCCACAGCAATGTGTTTATATATTCCTTTTTCCCTCGCGCTGTCAACGCTTGGAACGCGCAACCAGGTGAAGCTCTAAATATTACAAATATTGATCTATTTTGTTCTTTTGTGGAGCAGGTAACAGAGCCAGTATAGTTATATTTTGTTCTTGTTCTTGTTGTTGCTATAGCGAAAAACGTGTTTTGCAGTGGTCCATTGTACTCTTTTGTACATATGCGTAATACGTGGTTTTTATTATTTTTTTTCGTCTTCTCTCGTGTATGGGAAGAGCACCAATGTAGTATTGTTGTACTCGCTATTGTAAGTCTTCTGCTGTTGCGGGTATCGTCTCTAAAAATATTGTATTTCCTCAACTTTGTATCTAATTGTTTACCTGTGATGTTGTATGCCCGCTTCCTGTATGGTTCTGCAGAAAACGTACAGTATTATTAAATAAAAATAAAAATACAATTCAGCTACATGCATTGTAGTGGTTTTTTTTCAACCTAAAAGCGAGAAGCTAGTTATGAAAAAAAAAAAAACTTCTGGTGCTCAGCATGCACACGAAAATTCAATTCAAGATATATATAGCTAGCGCATTCGTACTTTACTAAATACGCGATATGTCATCACTGCGATAAATGAGATTCAAAAAAACACTCATTAGAACAACTGAGTGTGTCACTGTTGTGACAACGACTAGCTAATTTGCTGCGGCTGCTGCCCCGAGAGAGCCGCCACCACTCGTTTTCCCACGGAGGAAGGAAAAAGGAAAAAGGAAGAAAAAAGATGCGTTTTCCCGTCCCTCCTGGATAGATGGATATAGCTGTACCCTTTAGATTAGGTGGCGACTAACGTCATCTAGCCGTAACACTTTGTGAACTAACTATTAGATTTATCTTTTTTTTTCCTTTAAATAGTGAGGTTGAGGATTCGTATTTTGCAGTGAAGGGTTTAATTTTCACTCGTGCCTTGACTTTAGCCACCAATCAGATAACCTCCTTCTAGTTAAGCCTACCCGCTTAAAGTCTAATTTGCCCTCTCTGTCCCTAAACCCCAGTGCTTTGAAAAACTCTGCGCCATCATCCTGAACTATAGGGTGAAGCCCTTTACAGAACATTATTTAAGTGTTCAGCAGTTTCTTCTTCCTCTCCACACGCACTGCATACTGTGTCTACCCCTTCGTATTTGGCCCGATATGTCTTGGTTCGCAATACTCCCGTCCTGTCCTCAAACAGTAGAGAACTACCCCGAGTATTATCATATATCCTTTCCTTGGCAATTTCCTGCTTTAAAGTACGATAGATCTATAGTGCGGACTTCTTAATCATGCCAATTCTCCACATGTCGGTCTCCGTTTCCTTCACTTTCTTCTTAACCGATAGTTCTTTTTGGTTTGGCCACCTACTGTTTTAAAGTATTTACCAGTCAATTTCCTGGTTCGCTTCTTCCATTTTGTATCGACACTCTTCATGTACAAGTAGCCGAAAACCTTCCTAGCCCAACGCTCCTCCCCCATTTCTCTCAATCGCTTCTCAAATTCTATCTTGCTGCTAGCTTCCCTGCCCTCAAATGATGTCAATCCCATATCACCTTGTACTCCCTGATTTGGTGTATTCCCGTGAGCTCCTAAAGCAAGCCTACCTATTCCACGTTGCATAATTTGCAATCTTGCTTGAACTTCTGATCTCATGTACAAGACCGCATTGCCGAACGTCAGCCCAGGAACCATGACACCTTTCCATATTCCTCTCACAACATCATCCCTATTGTAATTCCTCAGTGCCCTACTTTTCACCACTGCTGCATTCCTGTTACCTTTAGTCGTCACGTATATTTCGTGTTCCCTTAGGTACTCGGTCCCATTGCTTATCCATACGCCCAGATATTTGTATTTATCTGTTATCTCTAGCGTGACCTCCTGTATCCTAAGCTCACTACCTTCATTATCATTAAAAATCATGACTGCTGATTTTTCCTTACTGAGTCTGAAATCTAACCTATCTCCCTCATTACCGCAGATGTCCATCAATCTTAGCAAAGCTTCCTTGTTGTCGGCCATCAGCACTATATCACCTGTACTAACCTATCTCCCTCATTACCGCAGATGTCCATCAATCTTAGCAAAGCTTCCTTGTTGTCGGCCATCAGCACTATATCACCTGTACTTCAACGCTGGTAGTGCCCCTTCAACGGGTTTTCCTTGCTTGACGAAAGAGAGGTTGAAGCCAAGTCCACTTCTTTCTAATTCGGCCTCTAATCCTTGTAGGTACATCATGAATAATAAGGGTGACAGAGGACACCCATGCCTAAGCCCCCGTTTCACCTGTGTGGGCTTGGATACCTGTTTTTCCCACTTTATAACTACCTTGTTACTTTTATAGATATCCTTCAAAAGATTAGTGACTCCATCTTCGACACCTGGTGAGTCCAGTATTCCCTTCAAGTCCTCTTGAACCACGTAATCGCACGCTCCCTTGATATCCAAAAATGCTAGCCACAGGGGCCCGAGTTCCTTTTCTGCTATTTCGGTGCACTGCGTCAGTGAGAACAGATTGTCTTCCAACTTCCTGTGAAGGGCGCAGAGCCAGTCAGGGATGTAAGTTCCTCTCTGATGATGTCACGTAAGGGCACTTCCGAAGGCTGTGTAGGACGCGGTGTGGAAGGTGTGAAGCCCATGGACCGCAATTCTTCGCGTATAATGTCCCAGATGAGGTCATGCAGATGTCCATGTGACGTGGAGTGGTGGTCACCAATGCCCGGTAGGAGGCGAACGGAGTCCAGCGCATCAAGTCGCTGGCATGTCGTCACAACATCAGCGATGGTAGCTGGGTTTTTCACAGCGAGGGCATTAAAGGCAACAGGCCCAATGCCTTTCAATATATGGCGCACTTTGTCCGATTCCGGCATGGGTTGATTGACACGCCAGCACAGTGTGAGGACATCCTCGATGCATGAAGTGTACGATTCACCGGGATGTTGTCGGCGGGTATCGAGTGTCATCTTCGCGACGGCGGATCGAATGTCCGGTGTCCCAAAGACGTGTCGCAGCTGCTGGTGGAAGGTAGCCCAGTCGGGTAAGTCAACGACGTGGTTAAAATAGCATGTCTTCGCAACTCCGGTCACATAAAAAGGCACGTAACGCAGTTTGGCGGCCTCGTCCCACCTATTAGCGGCACTTACGCGGTCGTAGTCATCAAGCCACTCTTCTACGTCTTCTCCCCGAAGACCAGCGAAGAGCGGGGGTTCCCGCTGATGTCCGTGTATGTAAGTAGGAGGGGCGGTGCGCGGTTGATGACATCAGCACCGGCAGGCTCGGTCTGGGACATGCTGCCTGACTGTGGGCGCAAGCGGCGGCCTGAACGAAGCTCCAGGGGGTATAGCGGGCTGCGGGAGGTCAGAGGACCGAAAATCCACCTCCACCACGTATGAAGTCTTGGCTGCGTCAGTGTTTATTTGATGAAAGACCTCGCGAAACGAACGGGCAGAGCTGATAGTACACAGATGATGATGATGACCCAGAGTGGCAATGAGGACAAAGAGACAAGCGGATGATGGTGATTGTGATCATGCAGGGATGAGGACGATGTAAGTAACAAATGCCCACAATATTTCTTCCGTAGAGCGCAAAAGGTCGCAGGGGTCTGCAGTACGTGGGCAGAGGAAAGTACTATATGAGAAGCACGCCACTTGTTCTTTCGATTGTTGTGCAAGAGTTGCTAACCGAATTCTTCTTGTGTTAACTATATTGATCGGTCAGACAGGTTGATGCATCAACACCCGCACAAAGCATCAAAATTCTTTGAATGAAGCCATCTCACCTTGCATTTTCAATAATTCAAATGAAATTTCATTTTTGAAGGCCTGGTAATTTTGGATAGTCACCCTTACCAGACCATGCGAGAAATCTCCGAGACGTATCATAAAGAAGACCACTCCTTGTTTAAGTCAATTAACCTTTGCTATCACTACAACACAAGAATCTTGAGCTCATTAATCAACTGTGACCACGCCCCTCGATTGTTAGTCTTTTTGTACCTCTCTGTGACATGCGCAATGCACCCTAATTTTTTTATCTTTGTCGTGCGACAACCTGTTAGTCATGAGTGCACGTTTTCGGTGTGCATATTTCTTTCCTGGGCGTATTTCTTTCTTTTTGCCCTGTAGGCTTTATTCCAACCTGCAGTTACAGTGCCAAGGGAGGTTGGTAGATGCATATGCTGCGAGTGGCACGCACTGGTCTAGTCCATGTATTCTATTTTAAGAGGTTGCACTTATTTTTAAAGCACTCTTTAAACATACCAGAACCGTACAATTTTTTTACTCGTAAAAAGAGTCAAAGAACGTTAATTGATTTCTAATGCATCCATAAATTTATGGACAGTGCTGCACTTTTTAGGCAATGAAGTTGTACTGTTTTTATTTATGTTGAAGGCGCACCGATGCTAAAGAATAATAATTAACTGATGGGCTAACTGATGCTTCTCAGCCGCTCAGCTGTTTGAACATCGGGACAAATGCAAATCGTTGACATGCCATCGCACCCAAACACTGCAATTTGTGAGTGAATCATGCAGTAATATATCACGTGTTGCTCAGTTCACTTGATTTGAGAAGTGCTGGCACGGAGCAAAGTTGAAGCGTGCGACTCGCACGCTCGTCATGGCGGCTGCTGCGGCGTACCTACCACATTTTTCCACAAGTGCTTGCGCCCCCGTTGACGGCGCTAGTGAGCTTGAAAAAAGTTCGTTGACGAGCTTGTTTGAGGCATGTGAAAAAAAATTTGAAGCCTGTTTACTGGCCCTTTAACATTCTTGCACACGAGAGTTGGCGAAAGGAGTCATATTTACCACCAGAGATGATGCCGCCCATGAGCCACTCTCCAAGTTGTCCATCCAAGAAAAGGAAGGGCAAAGAAAAAACAGAACAATGTATGTGTGGGCAAATGCAACACCTTTAATGCAGAAATGGAGTTATGGGTCCAGACCGCAAATTTGTTCACAGAGATGTATAGAGCAACAAATCATACAGAATCCTGCGGAATTCACAACACATAAGGTACACAACCTGCGCTAGTGTTTGGTGGCCGTATCTGAGAACAGACAGAAAAGGCACGAGTGCCCCTTCAGTGTAAGCCAATGGCAACAAAAGAAAGGAAGGCGTCGTGCCTGCGGTAGCATCAACCTGAGGAAGTGTTAAACGAACATTCTTTTACACATCTACTGTCATACAGAAAAAAGAAGAAAAAAATCGCCATTCTACAACAAAAACTGCCAACTAGGTAGCAGCTTCTATTTAATAAACATTAATTGCCAGTAGCAAGCCTATACAAAAGCAACGGCACTAGCAGAGTGCACTATAACAGCTTATGGCACGTGAGCGAATGTCACGCCAAACCACAGCGTAAAACAGGAGACAAGCAAAAGATAGTCTTGGTGTAATAATTTAAATGCTTGATTTCAGTTATTTTGTACCAGTCACATCTTCACATTTAGTGTTAATGCTTTCAGTGGCCAAGCCAGCCTAGTTAGGGTGTAATCTTTATTTACATAGGGAATCTGTCAACATAAAAACTCAATGAGTATATAAATATGCAGCCACAACACGTGGTGGACAGGATTTTTGACGACACAGTCACCACACCGGTTGGCCGTCCAAATGATTATGGTCACCACAACACACTTACAGATGCCTCCTACAGTGCTCCTTGCAATGTTGTGTAGTGGTAGTGAGAAAATAAATAAATTACGCGAGAAAGTCAACCTATACACAAGACACCGTCCTGTCAAGCCATGAGAACCACTCTTGATTCTACCCGGCTGCGCTTCCCCCAAAACAATAAAAACAATACCTTTACAATGCTGCGCAAGATGGCCATTCAAGTGTCTGCTTGAGCATTATGCAATATGTACGTTCTAAAATCAGAAGATTGTGAGTATGCGGATAAAAGGTTAAAAAAAATCTTTAAATGGAAAGCAGAATGAAAACATATCATTTGATGGGCAACATCATTGAACAGCATGAAACATAACAGGCACAGTTAATGAAATGCATTCACTAGCACATGTTTTGAGGAATACAAAGGACAATTTACCCTGGTTGCAAATTAAAGACCTGAGCTCAGATGGGAACAGAATGATTTGAAGATAGGACAACAAGGAGATGCGAGTGAAGTAAGATGAGAAAAAAAAATGGAGAAATTACGTGTACACCTGTGCCCGTCAGCTATACAAGTCCCCCATATTAGTTCGTTTCAAAAGCCGAAGGACCACAGAATGAAAGAAAAATGACGTGGGTGCAATTGGCAGAGACGCAAAATCAACACTTTTCACACCAACAGCTAACATCAACAACGAGGTGCAGAAGGCGAAATCACACTCTCTCTCCCTTTTTTCCCGTTCAAAATAGGTCATGAGGCAGCCATTGTACCATCCAGAAATTGGCTTTCTGTTACCCCTTTGTGAAGGAGTCCGAGACACCCTGACAGAAAGGCGAAGACAAACTGGCGTTTATCAATGAGTGCACCCTTCCTAATGTCCCGAGCATAACACCAACTTCACAGCCATTGTCAATAAAAAGAAGCAGCCTAAAAAAATGAAGCAAAGAGATGGTCACGAGCCACGCGAGATTCGCTGGCAGCACACAACACCTTTGGGGAGGGAGCGATGATTGTACTAGTAATGGACATATCGAGGTAATCCATGATGGAACAACAGCAAACGGGAGGGATACAGGAAACATCCGGAAGCACTGCAAGAAAACATGCGCTGCAGTGACAGCCACTAGCACGTGATAGTTATTTTTTCTTCTAGTGCGCTTTTTTTTTTCTTATACAGACCCCTTTTGTTATAAACACAAGAGTTGTGAGCAACATGCACCATCTTTTTTTTATGCAGGCACTTTCCCCAGTTCCTTCATGTGTTTCATCTTCCTTCTAACTCACAATTAAAAACAAAACAGAAAACTTGAAAACATTAAACATACCATGAAACGACAGAGGGCCACTACAATGACAGACAATGGAAAAAGAAACACTACACATCATTCACGATGCAGAAAGACAACCCTTCTCGCAATATAACAGCTCAAAAAAAAAAAAAAAACTAACAGAGCATGAATATAGAATGACAAGAGTCACTCCCCAATGTCCTGGCAAACATGTGACCATTGCTGCTGCCTTCTTGACATTGATTGAGTGCTTTCTTTTTTTCCCCAATGTCACAAAGCTGCCTCAGCTCCAAAGGTGCCGAGAGGCGACAAAGTCACGTCGTTCTCGCATTGATGTTCCATTACCAGCAAACCACTCTCGTGTCGCCAATGCATCTGTCGCTGCGCTAAGCACCTCACAGTGAAGAGACATACTGTAACAACCACAACCTTGCTCGGTGTCAGCTTTGGCCCAAGAAAAAAAAAAGTTACGAGAGACAACGGCTGCGCTTGCACGTTTTGAAAAAATTAGCTTACAGTATTAAAGTAAAAAAAGAGTATAAATATAGCACTATGTATATATATATTTCGTGTATGCATGTAACAAAAAAGTGCGGGGCATAAAGGAAAGCGAGCATGTCATGAGGAGTGGTGATGGTGCGTCTAAAGCCCTGGGATGGGTGCCTGGTGGCAGTGGAGCAAAGGACGTGGGAAGGTCCGGAGGGTTCAGGAGGTGAGCTCCTCCCAGCGGCTCTCGAAGAAGTTGCGCATGTTGTGACCTGCCTGGCCCACAGGAGAGTCGTCCTCATTGAAAGTCTCACAGTTGTCAAAGATGAGCCGCACATCCAAGGCAAACTCATCCTTGCACTTGTACCTGCATTTCCAAAGAGGTACAAGGTTTCAAAGTCTGTCTAAGAATCACCCTACAAATATGACAGGCTCAACGTGTGCTTTTCGCAACATCTTCTCTGGGTCCTGTTACATCCAAGCTCTGCATATTTGCAATCTGAATCACACTGCAGTAGAAACTGGAGCCACAATTTCGTAGCAATACATCCAGTTTGATTATATGCCACTCTAATGATCCATAATTCCCAACCAGACCACCCCGCCGATCAAGTGGGCTGAGCACTCATGCCGACAAATAGCAGGTACTGCTAAACAAAAACTCATGGCCTAGCTTCCTTTGTGCCAGCCTTCACAAAGCTGCGTTAGTTGATTTGCAGTCAGCCCAAACTGACAATCAGACGAATGAGAGGCACATACATACATTGTGAGGGGCCTCGACAGAGAGTTACTCCGGGAAGAATCATAACATGAACAGCTGCTGCATCCAAATATCTACTCACTGGTTTGACTCCAGCTTGGAGCGCATGGTGCTAACGTCCATGGGTTTCTTGATGAACTTGCGATAGGAGGGAAACTGCTTGGTGTTGACGGGAACAAGGAATGGCCAAGCATCTTTATGTTGCTCCAGCTCCTCCAGAATTTGCCTGAAAGCAAAAAAAAAATGCAAGCCATCTTCTGCAGCTTCGAGGTAAGCATGCTAAACCATTATACTTAGTTCTCACTCTTTATACAGTCTAACATGGATATATCGAATGCACATATACAGTGAAGACCGCTTATAATGTAAGTGGCGAATATCCACACTAAGTGTTAGCGCACTATGTAACCAAAAATTTTTCAAGGGCCCCGCTTGCGCAAAACGTGTAAACCATGCAGCCTTGCATGTCTGAGAATCAAAGTATGCAATCGATATGTGCTGCTTACAAGCATTCAAATTTCTGAATGTTAAAAAAAAATTACCGTCCAAAAACACAGGCGTTACCAACAAAATGAATGTGAAAAGGGAGGGGGCCTAACAAAAAAAGGCACCATCACGGAAATTCGCCGACTACTTCTCAGACCGCCTCGACTATGCGCATTACACACAAAGTATGTTGGATTCCATCCAAAGTTTTACATGCTGAGAGACCTCAGTCGTTGAATTTTATTAAGACATTGCAATCGAATCGCGAACAACCAATCAAGCACTACAAGTGCCACTCTCGTTTTCATTAATGATGTTTATCCCTTCCCGTCAAGTGCAGGGACCACAAAGAGTTTCGTTTATTCCGTACCAAGGCGCAACATAGCACACGATTGCTACTAAAACGCAACCAACGCCAATAGGGCCTAGCCTGCTGTTTGGTATGTTGCCGCGGGGAACTTCGTCCATGACATGAAGATCTGGCACCGAAAACATCGCACTGGACCAATATCAGCATGCGCGATACGAACTTTGTGGCCAGGAGATCAACAACGATGAAAACCCGCCAAGTTTACGCAAGACAGCGCACTGGCAGCAAAGGTGAAAGCTTGCATCATAAAGCCGCAAAAGGTTCTAAATTTGCCAATGTAGCAAACGTGATATCCAAAGCAAGCTTGATAACAATGACGCTTTCCCGACAGGTAATGTTAGGCCGCGCGTGATCGGAGCCACGCTAGCGACTCTAGTACACTATAGCCATGTTGGTGACGGTGCAAATAAGTCGCTGGGGCAACCACCCTCCTGCTTTAAGGCTATTTCCCATGCGGCGATTGCAGCAGAAAAAAAAAAAAAAGATCATTCTGTTCACTCCATTCGCAATCACCGCAAATGATGGTTTCGTTTCACATGCACTGCAAGTGCTCTGTCACTGCGATCAAAACGAAAAATTTCTAACATGTTGGTGGCTCGCTGCAGACCAACATGGCAAGAGCGAACGGCTCTTTTTTTCGCTGTGAGCGAATCCGCAGTGTGAAAAATCACTAATTTTTGAAACGACCTTCACTCTGTGAGCCGGGGTAGCATGCCACAGTGTTTTTTCCATTTATTTTTCTTCCCTCCGCTTTTTGTTGGTTCAGTGTGCATCCCTTCCTCCTCCATTAACGACCTCATCACTTGCTCTTCAGTGGCGCACCTTTCAGATGTGCGACTGCGTTTGTCACCAAGATTTTCTGGCAATCGTATTATAACTGGTATTTCACCTTGGGGGACTGCCCATTAAGTGGTATGCGTATACATGGGGTTCTGTGGGTGGGTAAACGGAAGTTGAGAAAGACTGTATTGTAACAGGTTTTGCAATATAAGTGGCTCAGTAGTCTACATTATATCTCAATTTTTGGCCATACCGTACCCGGTAAGTTATCTGCTTGAACATATAATGTAAAATAATACAAATTCATACATTTATATCGAACAGTATTTTTACTCGCCATTGGACATATCGAATGCCGTGCGAGCTGGAAGGTGTGCTTCAGCATTCTGTGCAGCCGGCAACCTCTGCGGCACCATGCCTCCACCAACACCTGACACACTAGAAAAACAAGAGAGCGAGTGGCTTCAGGCTACTACCACTGCTACGACTTGAGGGAATCGCTTGCACCCTCTCCTTCGGTGCCTCGTTCCCAAGCTAGTGCGAGAGCTGGCCGCGTGCAACTCAGGCGCCGAGAACATGACAAATGTGGTTTCAATGCCAGGCCTTTACGTGTAGCATGAGCCGTGCGTTGGTTCTCCCTGTACAGCGACACGTGTCATGGTGGTTCGCCAATCCTCATTGGCCGTCTTTGACGGCCTCCTTTACCGTTACCTTACTTTTGCCCGGCGCTCGCCAGCTGGGCAGGTACTCAAAGGACTGCACGAAAAGTCAACGCACTGCTCTAGCAGGCGGCCTATTGTATGTGTGCTTGGCTGCTGCCCTTTGTGTGATAGCCGTGGTGCCTGCCACCAAACGTACTTTCGATCTGTTTTGCGAAGTTTCCCTGTCGACCCTCAAGCCCGTGATTGTTGCACTGTGCTGTATCTTGGGTTATTAAGTCAGTGCTTCTTGAAGACCTGCGTCGAGTGCCATCTTTGTGTCATGTCGTCTTCATGCGTGACTGCAGTGGAGAATGTCAGGTCCCTTCCCGGTCGCTCCGTAGGGTAAGCAAACTTGTCTCCACACACTACTACTGCTGCTGGGCTAGCTGAGGCATGCTCTCAGACTTGCAGGAGTGTTTTCTTTTTCCTTCTCTCTTTCTCATGCTTTCACTGTATAGTTGTGGTAACTGGCTTGAAACAAAGGCGCCGGCAATCTGCTCTTTTCGGCTTTTTTTCTTTTTCTTATTGTTCTTTTGTGAGTTTTGATTAACTCAGTCAACATGCGCACATTCCATATTTGCTCAGCAAACCACAGACCGCACCATTTGTACTTCGCTGTGTTCCTCGGAGGTGGCCATCGTGAGCATGCTTTGTTGGTCAGTCGTTGCATACCAGCATGAAGAAGCACAAGAACCTGGATTCACGACAAAGCCATTCAGCGCTTTGAGGCAGCCAAGAAGAACTCAACGGTGGCAGACGTTTACACAATTTCTTGAAGCACTCCGATTACCTTGTTAAAGAACAAGGCCGACATCAAGGGAACAGTGGTAAGCAGCAAACGTCCGGAACTTGTCGTGTGTGTGCTTCTCCCCACGAGATGGTCGATAGAAGTCTAGGCCAAAAAAATTCCAGTAGACGGCCCAATGCTAATAGCTAAGGCCAGATGATTTGCCGTGGCACTTGGTGAAGACAACTTAACCGACAACATCAGGTGGCTGCACAGCTTTAAGAACCGCTGCAACATTGTTGGCAAAACCATTTCTAGTGAAAGTGAAGCTGTCAGTAGCCACGATATCCAACAGCAGATCTCAAAGGAATGGCCTCAAATCTCGGAGAAATTTTCTTACGCAGAAACCGTCAATGCCGACATGATCGGGCTGTTTTGGCAAATGCTGCCAAGCAAGACGTTGGACGTACCAGCCAGCACACGTCACAAGGGCAAAATGATTAAGTGCGTTCTGCTGCTCACAGCTAACATGAACAGCGCACAAAAGCGACAGCCCTGTGTGACTGGCAAAGTGAGGGCACTGCATTACTTCAAGAACTGCAAGCAGTTCCCCATCCACTAAATCTTCGATAGGAAGGCGTGGATCATGCATCAGCTATTCACGAAATGGCTCTAAACAAGGGACTCCAAACTGGGAAAGTTGGGACACCATGCTTGCTTTCTTGAGGACAACTCCTCTACCCACCATACAACCTGAGAGCTCCATTTCTACAGGTCAACACAGCTGCAGCCGCTTGACAAGGGTATCATCAAGTCATGCAAAGTGGGTTACAGGAGGAGATTCCTCGATAGTGTTTTGGTGAACCTCGAAGTGGGCACCGGGCTTAAAGATGACCTGCACTGTTATTCAAATGATGACAGGCACCTAGCAAGACGTGAAGGCAGGCTTCGTGACTGCAGACTGTGGAACCTGCGATGACGAGTGCTTGGATGACGCATTTCGCAAGTCGTGATCCCTCTTCCTGGATGCCGTTCCACCCGGTGTGTCTGCCGACAATTTTGCTAACACCGACCGCAATGCTCAGGCTGTTTCGTTCAAAGAAAGTCGAAAGAACTTTGATTAGTAGCAGGATTTGACACCCGGTAGGAGGCAAGTGATCACCTGTAGAATACATAACATTTTAAAACTTATATTTAAATCCTATAAGCCATCATAACAAGCTTCTGAGCTTAAAAAATGATGAATCGATTTGAGAGTAATATGTTCATTTAAAGGGGCCCTGCAACACTTTCATAAGTAGCCACGAAATGGGTTGACTAAAGGAGCTTATTTGCCTCATGAATTGACCGGCGCAAGAATATTTAGAATCCGTCCAGTAATAGTCAAGTTGGAAAGACTTGTCGTGCACTGCAATTGCATTCTCTGTTGTCCGCACAAAGGCTCTGGGAGCTAAAGACACATGCCTCGTCACCTTGATCACTTTCTCTTTCTTTGTATATGCGGCTTTTCAGTGCGATCGCAATTGGCGGCCCCAGTAATGATCAAGTGCGCCTTACTCACATCAGCCAGTGGCAAGTGATTTTCGAGCTTGTGGTGTCATTTGCCGGAGAGCAATCTTCAGTCAACTTTGAAAATTTAGTGTGAAAGCAGGCCGGGTGCGGCGATGTAATGTTCGGCTCGCGTGTACTCGGGAGCCTGAACTACTGATCAGCAGCGTCTTCCGACAATGCTCAAGTAATGTTGCAGGGAGCCTTCAATTTTGAAGTGCGGCTTCGCGGCAGAGCGTATTTACGCTGAATAGGTGCTTTCACGGCTTAGCACCACTATACTGCAGTGAAACTACCTTTACAGGCACTTACATGCGGATTAATATACATTTATATTGCGAATACTCCAAAATTTTCAATAATTGAAATTCGAATCGAAGCGAATTCGAATATTCACACAAGCCTACAGCAAACTATTACAATGCGTTTTATTTCACTTCCAAAGTGTACCTAAATGCTCATTCTCCTGGTCCAGGCCAATCGCTAAGGCGTATAGCGCTGAGGTAGCTCTATAGGAAGGGCAGCGAAAGTTGTATTGAATCACGCCAGATTTGTAGCGAGGAGAGTGATCTCCGCTGGACCTCTGCTATGTACGTACCGGCAAAGCATCGCGG